AGGATCCCTTCTGTGGTTGTAGCCACATTTTAAAACTATAGGATCCCTTCTGTGGTTGTAGCCACATTTTAAAACTATGGGATTTCTTCTGTGGTTGTAGCCACATTTTAAAACTACAAGATTCCTTATGTGGTTGTAGCCACATTTTAAAACTACAGGATCCCTTCTGTGGTTGTAGCCACATTTTAAAACTATAGGATCCCTTCTGTGGTTGTAGCCACATTTTAAAACTACAGGATCCCTTCTGTGGTTGTAACCACATTTTAAAACTACAGGATCCCTTCTGTGATTGTAGCCACATTTTAAAACAACAGAATCCCTTCTGTGATTGTAGCCACATTTTAAAACAACATGATCCCTTCTGTGGTTGTAGCTACATTTTAAAACTACAGGATTTCTTCTGTGGTTTTAGCCACATTTTAAAACTACAACATTCCTTATGTGGTTGTAGCCACGTTTTAAAACTACAGGATCCCTTCTGTGATTGTAGCCACATTTTAAAACAACAGGATCCCTTCTGTGGTTGTAGCCACATTTTAAAACAACAGGATCCCTTCTGTGGTTGTAGCCACATTTTAAAACAACAGAATCCCTTCTGTGGTTGTAGCCACATTTTAAAACTACAGGATTTCTTCTGTGGTTGTAACCACATTTTAAAACTACAGGATTTCTTCTGTGGTTGTAGCCACATTTTAAAACTACAGGATCCCTTCTGTGGTTGTAACCACATTTTAAAACTACAGGATTTCTTCTGTGGTTGTAGCCACATTTTAAAACTACAGGATCCCTTCTGTGGTTGTAACCACATTTTAAAACTACAGGATCCCTTCTGTGATTGTAGCCACATTTTAAAACTACAGGATCCCTTCTGTGGTTGTACCACATTTTAAAACTACAGGATCCCTTCTGTGATTGTAGCCACATTTTAAAACAATAGGATCCCTTCTCTGGTTGTAGCCACATTTTAAAACAACAGGATCCCTTCTGTGATTGTAGCCACATTTTAAAACAACAGGTCTTCTGTGCTTGTAGCCACATTTTAAAACAACAGGATTTCTTCTGTGGTTGTAGTCACTTTCTAAAATATATAGAAATAATTAGTTAAATTAGTGTGTGTGACTCGCGTGTTACTAGAGCTCCTGTAACCAAGTAAGTTTGTACATAAATGGTTTAGACGTGGGTGCATGAAATGAACCACTTGCATGTACTTATCTTGAATAAACAAGTTTATCTAATATAGTGTTTAAATATTACTTAAGGTATATTAATTATCTGTTCCATTTACCCATCACGTTAACCCGTGTAGATTTTTAAGGTATATAAATTATCTGTTCCATTTACCCATCACGTTAACCCGAGTAGATTTTTAAGGTATACTAGTTATCTGTTCCATTTACCCATCACTTTAACCCATGTAGATTTTTAAGGTATATAAATTATCTGTTCCATTTACCCATCACTTTAACTCGTGTAGATTTTTAAGGTATATAAATTATCTGTTTTATTTACCCATCACTTTAACCCGTGTAGATTTTTAAGGTATATAAATTATCTGTTCCATTTACCCATCACGTTAACCTGAGTAGATTTTTAATGTATATAAATTATCTGTTCCATTTACCCATCACGTTAACCTGAGTAGATTTTTTAAGGTATATTATATTAATTATCTTTCATTGTATGTGTGTGTTTATATCATATTATATGAATATCATTAAAAATAATTCAATCTTGAATAAGATGTTTTGAACAAAAATAAATAAACACAGTATTTACACAAGACACGTGTTAAGAATTATGTTTTAATACCCAAACTTTCTACATTTTTCTTCTCGTACAGGCAAATGTGACGAAGTGATGAAGCTAGTAATGGATCATTTGGGAATTCCAGTGCCAAACTATAGTAGGTGTGTATAAGTTAATGTCACTTCCCGAACAGGTAGCATAGGTTTCAGTTTTGGTAATCACATTTAGCACTGATATCTTTGTTCAAACTACATTTGGGTGATTTAGAAATCTGGAGAGTTGTAATCATAATCATATTGTTTTAACAAAACAGCAGTAAGGAAACACATTTTTATGTTGCTTTAGTGATTTATTTTACATTTTAACACAGGGAAAAAGACCAGATTTTCCGATTAGCAGTGCAACTCACTTCAGAAGAAGAAGAGTCAACCACAAGACAACAGCTAACCTTTACTCAACAACAACAACAACCTGAATTAAATAACTACAAAATGAAATCTACCCCTGGGCCATCTTTTGATACAGGCCCTTTTTACGAATCAACTGCCAAGGTTACAAAAGAGGACCCCGATGATGGTTCTACGTCTGTGGATGAACTACCTCAACAAAGCATCAAAGAAATGTTACTTTCGGGAGTAAAGGATGAAGTGGAAGAGCAACATTCCACATCTGAGCTTCACAGAGAACCTGTCCCAGTCAAAACTGAAGTAAGTTTATCAAAGTCCTCCCATTGTTTAGAAGAAGATCTGGCATATTCGACCGAAGATTATTCCGAAACTTACCCAAATGATGAAAAGAATGGGTGCCATAGATTTACGGAAGAAATTTCAGAGGAAAAAGAAATCATGCCCGGCTGGTTTGGAAAGGGTTTTGCAAAACTGAAAAAAGCAAAGAAGAAACGGCCTTGAATTCTAGTGCAAGATCCCTAAATGTTTTTTTATTATTATTGAATATATATACTCCGTCAAAGAAAGTTACTGGGGGAGACAAAGAACGAAAGTCGTACGCCACTCAATTGACTGTACGGACTAGCGTAACCGTGTTTAGGTTTATAGTATGACGAACAGAATAACTAATGTATAATCTTGCGTGGAACCATCTCGTTAGAACATAACCTCAAATTAGAGAATAATGAAGGTTATAAGTTGTGTATCAGAGAAATCGTTTTTAAGTTATGAAGGTTACTTTGATAAAATTATTTTATCAATACAATCTGTTTATCGTCACTAAAAATGTATTTTTTAACTTTCCACCTCCGTCTGATGGTGAAACACGGGATAGACTCAGGACCTGGCCTAGAGGAATATCAAATGTAAAACTGTATTATTTGAAGAGAGTTAAAAATTAAAGTATATTTCTTCCGAAACATAAGGTCCTTAAGTACAAAGTTGTGGAAAATATGAAACGATCGTTTTCTTAAAGTTTGAGCCTAATTAATTCTAACATCGTTGTTTTTGTCTATTTTAATTGAATATATTGTTTTAGAAGTTCCACTAATACGTTCACTCGCTCGTGTCCTTTGTTGTGGAGACTTTGTACTGGTAGGTACAGTTCACAATTACAAATACCTCAGTTAATCGTAGTGAAAAACATTTAAGAAGTCTCAATTGTTTAATAAATCATCAAAAAACAGTGAAGTACATTTTAAGAACTTGATGAAAAAAAATTGTACTTTTTTTTTCCTGGCCTAGTTAGGTTCACTTCTGTGCACTGTGTACAGATACAAACACGAAAAAAAACAGGCACCCCCCCCCCCTTCCCAAATCAAAAACAGATAAATAAAAAAAAGTTTTTAGATATTCATGTCATATCAAACTTATTATGGTTGTGATTAGAACTACATGTATTCTAGAAAAAAAATATATATATATAAATTTTGAATATTAAGATGCGTTGAAAGAGCAAAACAAAGTTTTCTCTGCATTATAAACTTTTTATTTCATTTTTTGTGTGTAATGTCTTAGAAGTTAAAAGGTTTTTATTGAGTACAAATTTCTGGCCTATTAACTTTGTTTTCGAATGTTTGTGTATTGATAATGAAAGTGTGGTTAGAGTTGTAATCCACCATTTAAGGTCTGTGGTTGTAAATATGCATGACTACAGTTTAGTTAACGTTATTACTAACCGTTCGTGTGTCTTGCTTTGAAAGTAAAAAATTCATGGTTTCCGTTAGTGCTGAAAACTGATTACCGCTGTCTGTTGTTACATTCCCGAGTGCAGGTTTTTTTGGCAAAAATAAATAATAATTAACCCCCTAAATGAACTACCTTCGGAGGTTCCCTCAAAAGGTGAATAATACTCTGTACTAGTGGAAGTTAAGCCTTGCGGACTGCAGGTAAAAACCATCTGCCTTGTTTTTTCAGCAGGTACTAATTAAATGGACACTGTGTAGATCAAAAAAAAAGACTCGTTTTAAAAGATACAGCAGAAAATTATTACATCTCTACTTCTTTAGCAGCAAGAAAACCGATAAATGCTTATTTTCCAGTATTTGTACACAACTACTATTCTAGCTGTGTGGAACAGAAGTGGTTTGGCTACACTAGTTACTAAAACAACATACTGTAGAGAAAACATCAACTTAAATTTGTGATAAATGTTTTATTACATTCCTCAGGGAGACAAATAGCATTTCCTGGATGTTTGATTTAAGTCAACAGTAAAATATGTGGTCTGTCACTTTTCAATTTTGCTCAGACATTATTTAATACCAATGTAAAAAGATAAGTGGTATGAATTATCAGTTTACTAAATATGAATCACTGTTTAAAATGTCATCAATATCCATGTGGATGTTGTGCAATTAGAAATATTTTATACATTTTTTTTTGTTTGATGGTGTACGGAAAATTGGGATATGTTGTATAAGTAATTGTGATGGATTTTAATAAAAATATATCACAAAGTTCGAACAGTACATTGTACCAATGTTAAATTAAAATTTACTCCATAAACCGTTGGAAGTCTTGAGCGTGGCATCTGACGAACTGTCAGTATCGTGGTGATATCTTAATATTAAACTTTATCATTTCCAGATGGCGTTCTTTAATATGTTTTTATTCTCTGACATAAATAGTAGTTCGGCAAAGTGAAGTTTATAAAAATATTTTTTTCCATAAACACCTTTATAACTGACTTTCTACTGTAGCCAGGAATTTCAAATAGCAAACTAAGCCATAACTGAATATTCATTCAATAACGGCAACCAAAAAAGTCTTGCATCATAGTTCGGTAAGACAGCCACCTTAGTAGGTAGAAACCCAAAACCCCGAGTTAAAACAGATTACACCAAGTTACTCCTCCTTCCCCCATACTACTAATCTGTTTGTCTGCAATCCACAGTTTCTTGTGTCGTAACATATCGACCCCAACTTCTTTTTTACACCCCAGGTTTCTATTGGCTCTTTAAAAAGTGTACAAGTAGATACAGATGCCAATGAATAAAAAAAGATAAAGTTATATAAAATCCACACCTGGCTCCAGTCTAGACCTTTGTTAAGTTGTTTCTGATAGGCTACAACTGTCGTCTATCAACTAGAACTGACAAATATGATTGATTTCTATACTGACTTCAGTGCACGAGTCATTTCTTAACAACAAACACCTCTGTATGTGGTAAATAAGAAACATTAGTAAGATTGTAACTCAATAAATAAAAACAGCAACTCATTTTTAAATTCTAGAAATACATCCACAATAGAAACTAGGCTTAACAAGTGGCAATTTTAAAAAAACAAGCATCATTAGAGTGAGTTTCACTGTTAAAAAAACAAAAACTTATCTAACCCAAATTTATTTTTCAAGAATTTCTAAGCAAAATGAGAAAATATGTAGAATAAAAAAAGAAAGAAAGTTAAACTGTATAAATCTCGTAACAACAGGATATAAAACTTTCATCTAAGGTGTACGCTTGTTCTTAAAACTACACTTCTAATACTTAAATAGATCAGGGACAATAGAGTTTGTACAGCCTCCAAGCACAGATCGACACAGCTGCCAGTGTGGTCAACGTGTGGAAAGTCTTTCTTCTTGTGTCATCTCGTCTCACCAATACTACGGGCGTAGCAGACGTTAGTGTATGTAAAGGTAGCCTAGAGAGAGACTCGGGGTTTTTCTCAAGTTGGTACTTACAACATGGATCAAACTGCCAGGCTACAGTGTACAGTCCAGCTGTAAGAAGGCTTACAGCGCCCAATGGGCATGATACGTACAATCTGTCGGGCCAGACAAATGCAGAAGCTATAGAACCAAATCCGGCAAGAACGGCAGTTTTATGTAGGCAGTTTCCCACAGCTATCCACCTGGCAGTTTCATCACCCAGTCGGGATGGTTCGATGATTATTGTGGAACAGGCTGCTTCAAGTGCCCTTTCTAATTCATTTTCAAAAGCCTCGTGAGCATTCTCTCCATCGTATATTTCTCTCACAATAGCTGTATCTGGAATATCTAGGTATTCCCTGAATCACAACAAAAAAACACAAACTGTATATACACACAAAAGATGTATATAGTTAAGTATTTCAATCATTACAACATAATTTAAAAAAAATTTAATTATATTAATTCAAACATCAACGGTATAACTTACTGTTGAAGAAGTATGAGAAACACCTTTAAAATTAGGTGGTGTCATCTGGTGAAAAACACAATCTTTAAACCAATTCTTTATTTTTCTTGGTTTAAGTAACCATTTTAATTACAAAGTTTACTACATTTTTTTTTTTTACTAAGATATCACACTCAGTTACTATTTCTTCTGCTATAAGTTTCACTCTGTGTAATAAATTTAACATTACTTTTCTACTATACATGTAGTTGTAAGAAGTCATACCATACATTGTTGCTCAGTCAGCAAAACTATTTGAACAGTTAGTTTCAAGTCATTCACTACATCATAAAGTTTAGGTACACATGTCTGGGGTAAATATTCTTCCAAAAAATTACACAGTTTTCCCATACACTCAATCAAGACCCCCCTAAAATTCTTCCATAATCTTTCACTATGTCTGACCAGTTGACAACGGCACCATAGTAGTATTGCCTCGGCGATAGAACCCAACAGTCAACATTCAGTTTCATTTTTCCCTCCCTGTCTTTCTTCTCTCTTTTTTTTTCCATAACCCCAAAATCTTCGTTAATTTTCAGAATTATTCCCCCATATCTTTTGAACAGATATCTGGAAGAATATCCACCATGAAACATCCAAATATTAAAGTTTCAATCTAATTTTTAGATTAACACTTTTCTGGGAACACACTAGCATAAAACAAATGATTAAGAGCTGCTAATAAATGAGTGAAAAAATAAGAAAAATATATATTCTTGCTTAAGTTGTCTTTCTAGAAAATGAAGTTCATAATAACCACGTAAAAGAAGTTTCTCTAGCTCAGCATTTCTCAACCACCACTCTGCGAACCATCACCAGGCTGTCACAGCCATCTTCCTTGCCAGTCTGTTGGATTTCACAAAAACAAATAAAAACTAACAGAATATTCAAATGTAAATTGTAATTATTTTCTTATTGTACTTTCATGTTAGTAGTCTGTGACAGTTTAAAGAGGCAGTGAGTGAGCAGCTGGTCTCAAAGAAATTGAGAAATGCTGGTCTAGTACAGCTATTACTCACAAGACACCTTGTGACTTTAGTCTATAAAATAAATCATTAATAAATTTAATGGTAGAGTAATTTTTCTGTTACGGGAACAAATTTAGTTTATTCATGATATTCTATGAAAAAAAAGTACTGATATTGTATAACAAGATCCTGCATGCTAAAAAAAACAATACTTCTATTTATTTGTTTCCTGATGTGGAAGAAGACTTGGGAGTGATAAGAGCAAACTATAAAGTATATTTATTCCATTAAGTTAGCTCAAAATTTGTTACAAGCTCATACGCATGAACTTTATTTAATTTTAAAAAATAATTAATTAATAATCGGGTTATTTCGACAAACTGAATGTTTATACAGTAGACAAAATGACTGAAATTTGCCATTCAATGATCTTATTAATTGTTTGGAAATGTATGGCAAACCTCCAATGGTTTAATCAAGTTACACATATAATAATAATAATAACAAGTAAATCACGAGATACTGTAACAGAACATACAAAACTTGTAATAATTATGGCCGAACAAATAATATATTACAAGTATGATACCTAGTGTGGTAAGGAATGGTAAGCACATTTTTGAAGAATAATACTTTAAAATATTTAATATTATTACTAAGTACATAACTTGTAAATGCTGTGAGCGTGAGAAAAGGTGTCACTTCTCATAAGAGTCAGCAGAATCGATATATAATAAATTTCAAACGGCTAATTAGATAGTATATGTATCCATTACACAGTTTTGATTGTCACCTTTTAGTTTTAATTTCGCATTTCAGATCTTTCTTTGTCTTTAGTACAATTTAAATGAGTTTCACTAACAATGAGCAACATTATTACTGGTATTACTACACTTTTTACTACTAATACTAATAGTAATACTACTACTAGCTTGTTCAAGTTCAACAAAGCTTTTAGTTTTAGTTTTAATTTTTTATTGTTTAAATTTTAGTTACTAACTTACTATGTTTATCATTTATGTATTACAATTTACAAACACAATTATATCGTCTACAAGAATCATATTCTGATAGCGATATCTATAATTGAGGAGATCATAAAAGAAATCTTAACGTCTTAATTACGACTTAAACTTTAAAAGACATTAAAATCCAGTTAAACTTACCTTTCTTCTTCGTACCTCTCCATAGTCAGGCCTCTCACTTTCTGCACACATCGGATACAGTGGTGACATCTAACTATTTAGGATAAATGTAAAAAAATAAATAATAATAATGTAATCAATATACGTAAAGTTGAGTTTTTCATACATATAAATAAAAGTTAACAACCAATACAGGAAAACTAAGATGTAAATAGCTTTCTTTAGAATTTACATAGAAGTATAGAACCTTTTAGAGATTCGTATGCTGCTATTTATTGGTTAAAAAGATAGATTATATGAATACCGTGTGACATTACAAATTATTCACATATAGTAGCATATAGTCGCAAAATTTTGCAGGATTCAGGTGAATGTTTTAAACATCTAATTGCACTCAAAAAAGTCTATATTTGCAGCACAATTCACCTTATTTAGGTTGATTTAATTGTACCCTAATCTTAAAAATAAGTGAGTAATAATTTGTGATATGGGCAATCTGTGCTCTGCCAACCGCGGTAATCAAAGCCCGATTTTTTGTGTTATAAATTTTTATATTGAAGATGTAACTCGTGTATTTTTTAATGGATTGCCTTGAAAAAAAACGTAAGAGATTTTTCGTTATCTTGTTTCTTGGAAATAATAGTCTTACTTACCAATGATCTGTTGAATTTTTACCTAAAGATTAATTTTCTTTTCTATCAGAAATGAGTATAATAAAATATTTTTACCACGTTGGCTCCAGTTGCTTGGCGGCAAGTCTGTAAGTGTACGACGTTATACATTTGGTGGGCAAAGCACAGGTAGTTATGCATTGTATAGGTTTGGGTTTAATAACACATAAGCTTACCACGTTACCTCTTTTTTATTATATTACATATTAAATATGTTTTTTAAATATTTTAAATTTAGATATTGGTGGTATTGGACTATCTTACACTTTGTCCAATGCGGAAAACTGAACTCCAGATTTCAGTGTTGCAAGTCCTTAAACGTACTGCTGACTCCCACGGGTACGAAATGTGAATATTTTCATGCATTTGTTGGTGCTATTGTGTGGATGAATAGTCCTAAGTATTGACTACAACTATATTTATTTTAGGAGATATTTTACAAAACAGAACGATCTCCACACCAAACTCTCCACGTTGAACACTTGTGAACAATGATCACGTCATTCTCCCTTTTTTCATACGTAAAGAATACATATAAATATGTACAAGTTTATTAAAGCTTATATTAGAAATTTGATATTCAATTATGATTTTTATTGTGGGGGAAGGGAGAAGAGGGTGTGTGCAAAATTGAGGATATGGTAACTTGAAATATACACATACTTGTTTCAACTGATATCTTTTCAAAGATATGAATGTACAAACACAATTACAGTTATATATATATGCGACAAGGTTGTAGAAAACCAAGATAATTTTAGTAGTATGATAATGTCCAATCTGTTCACCGGATGTACAAATTGCGCTGTTGTCGGTTTTGATTAACGTTTATTGAGAGACCACGAATTATTGTTTTATTAATGATACTAAATTATCATATAGAAAACTGCGCCATCTCAGTTTCTGTTCTTATTGATTAAGGAAGTTAATTTGAAAACGTACATAATGATATTCTTTTTTTTTGATTGGCCATCGGCAGTTTGTCTATAAAGCTTGGCATATAACCTAAATATCAGTGAATATATCTCTTAGTTTGTTTAGAAGATAAATAGTAATTCTTTCCCATGTGTCTAGATATATTATAGCCTCAAAGTTGTAAGACGAATGCGCACACAACATAGCACAAGATATAAGACGAATTAGTATGAATAATCATTTAAATGAATTTTATACATTTTTGTTACTGTATCACCCAATATTATAAAATGAAACTATACAGGCCAAGGCTTTATCAATTGAGAAGGGACTGGCTTCAAATTATCTATACATATTTTGAATGTAGGGAATATGTATGCTTAGTCTCTGGAAATCAAAATTGTATACACTAAAGTCGTTTATTTACAATATACAACTTTCTGGAGTTACGCCTCAATTGACGAAGACCGCTACTATATTTTGGCAACATACAAACATTTTCAAAGGCATAGTACAATATTTTAAATGCTTTATATACTTTGTGATTCCCTAGTTATTAAGGGGCCTACATCAATTATAGTTTCTTATGGAGTTTGGAATCCATTTTAATTCACCATATAGTCACTTAAATTAATTTAGGAATGTGAATAATGTTATGATATTTCGTCGAATTTATTATTTAATATTATACAGTGGACCAAATAAAGAAATCTTTAATACATGCATACAATTCTAACTATTTTGTAAACAAGCACCATCAATCCAACAAACAGTATTGTTTACTTATTGTACACTTTACCATCACCGTGGATTATTTACGGCTCGTACTTGTTTCTCTATAAGACAAAAATATTTACCAATAAATTTAAAAATCAGTAGTTATTTTTCTGCTGTTGTGAGTAATATTAAACATGTCATTTAGAAAAATGTAGACCGACAACTACTCCAATATAGTGTTGTTTTGTTGTAAGCCTACCGTTAGGCTTCATGTCCAGTGAATTAGTTTTAATTATATACGCGTATAATGGCACATCAACATCAACTATTTTGCTTTCGTAAAATCCTTCTGATAAAAACTAACTTAAAATTAGGTCAAATATGATGTTCTTATATTTGGCTAAAGTTACACATGAAGTGATTTTATTAATTTACATATAGTTTAGCCGGACGTGAAACAATGATTACGTTTTCGAACTATTACAGTTGAAATATCTTGAGTTGTGACACAAACGAAAGTCAGAAAAGTTTATTAGGTTGATAGCTGTTTCGCTAGAGCAATCCAACTTTTTTTTTTTTTCCGGAGGAGAAAGAGTGTATTTGGGATTTTCGGCATCTTTCATTTCAGGTTTTGTAAGTGGGTTACCGGAGCTCTCGCTGCGAACGTTACAATTCAGCAAGTTCAAGTTCTCTGGCGACGGTATGCCATTGTACCGTTAGAACTCTGTTTAGAATAAAACAACTTTAAAGCTGAGGTTAACGCACATACATGTAACCAAATATAGTATATATATATATATATATGTGTGTGTGTGTGACCACGACTTTTTTGTGATAGGATCACGTACTTATGCATCGATTTTTTTATCATATCTATAGGTGGTTGACGCAATTGGACACAAGTTTTGTATACTTCAGCCTTTCACTACCACTGATTCTATAACTTTTATAGTTTGTTTCTGTTCAGTACTATCAAGCTCCGTATCAAATATATCCATCTGCTTTAGCGCAGTTTTAAACCTACTAGAAAACATATATTTCAGTGAGGAAAAAGAAAATTATACATTTTATATGGAAGGTGAACTCTCCAGTTTTGCTTCATTACTTGTAGAGAAGAAAAACTGATGTTAAATCAGAGATTTTTGGCGATCTTTTATCAAATTCACACTTTTCTCTCTCTCTGCCTCTATAATCGAAGTGTTTGAAGGCTTCTATACATGAAATATCAAATGCGGCCAAACAGATAATCATTTATTAAGAGTTTGAAATTATTTCACTGACGTGATTTCTACAACGTCTGCCATATAAATAATTGAAAGCACCAAATGACAAAATATAGTGACTTGGGTAAGTTAATTTTCATTATAAATAATTTTGTTATTGAATTTTTTACATAAATTGTGATGGTTGTAACGCATATGCTGATAAAAACCCGTCGATATTTTAAAAAATATTTATGAATTTTATTTAGAACAAACTTCTACTTTTTTACGACTTATTTTTCAAATTAAAAATTATCTAATTTTATTTTAATAACGAATCTTTAATGCTAAATTTTAATATTAACAACATATTAACTACTTAACATGTATCACTTTGAAAATAACTAACGATCGACGTAATGTTTGTTTGTTTGGAATTTCGCGCAATGCTACACGA